GTTGAACGTTCTTTTTTAAATTCCCTCCTAAGCTGCTTTTGCACTTCAAATGCATTTAGCAGTTAAGAATAAATTTTCTTTCTTCGAAGGTTAATCTGGCTGTTATTTTTAGGTTCAGGGATTAACTCTGCAAAATAAACACGAACAGTTAATTATTGGCTGTTTACAATTATAAAAGATATAGGTAAAATGCAGCGAAAAATAAGTTAAATGATACTTGTTAATATTTTTACATTATCAAAATAATACAATTATAATAAACACCAAGTTTACAATTATTTAAAATGTGTACGCATTCTTCGGACATCCTGTACTATCACTGACTTCGTATCGATGGGTACTTTTTGCATCCCTACTGGTTCTGTGTAAACTGACTTATAATCAATAAGAAGAAGGAGAGAAGTTCAAAGGATAATCGAATAGGGAGCCGATTATAGAGACTCGTTTCTGCTACTGTTTCCTCTTTATGTCTCTGATGATGAATCCATGTCGGATGTCGAAACGTTAGGCAAATAAACGTATTGTCCCAGCGATCGAGTCTTCTTTTTACTTTCAGAGCTGATTGTATTCGTTGCTACGCTCTAAGTTAATGCAAAAAATCGTACTGCAACACAAATATTTGCTCTGGAGATTTTTTACAAAACCAGTGTTGGGCGACGAGATAAAATTACAATGAAGTGAAAATCGGTAAGCCGTGGAAAAATCGGGTCTGCTAGTGCGAAATCTCCGTTTTTTTCTCGTATTCCTAAAAGATCCAAAATATCTCGTTTATAAAATAACAAAATGATGTTTAGAAGAGGATGATGCGACCACTGGAACAAGAGTTTTATTATCCTGACGTATTGGATTCCGTCGTGAATCCTTTAGCCTAGGTGATGGTACAATATGCTGAGTATGCGCAGATTGGGCGACTAAATTTGGCCACAGCAAATTGGCGTACAGAGAACAGCCGGGACACTACATCATCTTATGCTAACACCGCAAGGCCAGATCGTCATGGCTGATGCGACGAATCAGAACACAGTGCATTTATCTATTTTTTTGTACGTTTAAATTTTACAGCGGAAT